TTCCCTTTGTAACTACTACTTCTCCCCACAGACTGGGTCTGACCCACCCCCTCAAGGACAAGGACAGCGTGGGAGCCATGAAAGAGCAGAAGAGCCAGCTCGACATGTCTTCTCTTTCTCCTGGTTGAACTCACTGAATGAATGACAGCTCTTGAACCAGCTGACTTCTGGTATACATTCTGAAGGAATTCATAGGCAGTAATTGACTTGGATGGAAGAAATAAGAAATAGTATATTAAAAGGGATGAAGGATCCAATTTTATCCAAAGAACTTTGTTTGAAAGCCCTCACACTGGATCTGACTCTGAGTTGTTTGAAGCCAATTTGGGAAAGGGACAAGAAGGAAGGGGGAAAACGTGAGCTGATAGCTAATAATGAAGCAGTTGAGGGTCAAATCCATCCTGTCTTTTGAGTAATGACAGGCATCAAATAACATTATGACTTAACAAAGTCCAATTCACAAATGGATACTGAATTCATGTAACAAAGCTTTATGGATAACAGTCAGTCAGGGATGCAACCGAGCTATCCCATGATAGCGGCAGTTCTCACACAAACTGAACCTGAGTGTGCTCAAACAAAATCAATTTCAGAAAGCAATGTGTTGAAAATAAACGCTCCGTTGTTATTGCAAGTGTTAAACACGTTATACATGTTCACAAATGTCTTGGAAATTCTTATATTCTTATGTAAGTGCTTTAGCAACATTGTTAGATGTTTCCTCACTAATGGCATTATTGTTAATAAAAATGTAGACTTCTCGTTGTTCAGCAAGGCTCATCACCTGCCCAGGCTTGATATGCTCATTTGTTCCTACCCTGGTGGGTGGGAAAGTGACAGCGCTGGCCTGCCTAGGCCGTGTTCTCTGCAGGTGCTGGGAAGGCTAGAACAGGATGAGAAGGGGGTAAAGGGCAACTCGGATTCCTCTGGGGACTGTGGCCATTCAAAAGGACAGAATGGCTCCTTTCTTTGCTTGTTGTTGGCCAGATTCCAGCTCAGGGTTTTCTGTCCTCTAATCCTGTCCTGACCCTACAAAGGTTCTGTTGGAGGGGGGGGGCATTTGAAGGGAAGCAAAGAGGAGAGCCAATGCAGCAGGAAGAGCCAGGTGGTTCCACCAGTGACCTCAGAGAGCACCCAAATGTATAGCACCCTTCCTGTCCCCTTTCTGATGTGCTACGTCCTCTAGGTAAGGTGTTCCCGTAATTTCAGAACTTTCACTTTAAAGAATTTATTGCAGAACTGAATACTGTATGAGCCATTCATGAGAGGCAGCAGTTTTCCTAATTATTTGACTACACTTTTTAATATCTTCTTGCTCCTGCCCCCGCCAATCTTAACATTAGATGAATAAGGTGAAGAGGATGCTTGCTTATTTAGTGGAGTGAGTACTGGGACTTTTATAGACAATTAGAAACTGTACAGTATTTCTCTGTAAACACAATGAAAAGATTATGCCCAGGACTGTAGGCAGATGTAACCTATTTTTAGCTGTCTGAATAGCCTAGACCATCCTGAGCTTGTGAGAGCTCAGAAACAAAGCAGGGTTGGCCATAGTCCATATTTGGATGGGGAACCACTAAGGAAGACCAGGACTGCTATGCAGAGGAAGGATATGGCAAACTCCTTGTCTTCATCTTTTTCCTTGAAAGAGCTCTCTCAGCCCCACCCACCTCACAGGGTGTCTGTTGTGGGGAGGGGAAGGGAAGAGAAAGGAATTTGTAAGCTGCTCTGAGACTCCGAGTGAAGGACGGGTATAAATCCAATCTCTTCGGCTGTCCCACCCCTTAAGTAAGATATATTTTGACTATTTGCTCAGCCCAGGACCCTGAGGGAAGGGATAGGATCACCCTTAAACCCTTGAAAATGGCACTAGAGATGCTGTCAAAATTCAAAAATAACAAAAGGTTTTATTTAACATCAAAGGGAAAGGTCAGGTGAAGTCAGGGGTTGAAATTACTGAGGTAAAACTAGTATAAGCACAGACATTTGATCTCATATATCAGGTTAGGGAGAGGTTCTTAATTAATTCACAGTTACTTAGATCTTTATATTGAGAGGCTTTTGATCCAGTGTTTCCCCAAACACTAGTTCACTTTATTTGAACTAGTCTTTTGGTGTCCAGAAGGCTGGTACCCTCTTCCTAGTACCCAAACCCCTTCTTTTTGAACACCACTACTCTCTTTGAGTAGTTCACTGACTTTTAAGGTCTCTACAGGCAGTTTCTAATCACACCAGACCAGGGATCCCTCTACTCCTCAGAGATAACTCTCCCTGTTTAACTGGGTAGGGAATCTTCTTCTCTGTAGTTATGATCTAATCCACTTTACTTTGGCCTGAACTACTACCCAAACTTCTTTGCCAAACTCTCCCCCCAGTACTCCTGTCTGTGTTCAAACTGCTCTCAACTACTGCTGAATTCAGACTGTGTTCAGTCAAGGTAGAAATCTGACTCTGTCAATGCTAAACTCTTTTTCTGCCAAGGCTATTCACAGATGGTCTGAGCACACATCTCAGTTAAGGCAAGAATCTGACCGACTTTTCCTCAGCATCTAGTTCATTCATGACTTTTTTTCTCAGTTGATGCCAACCAATCAGGTTGCTTAGAGCAGCCTGTCCCTCAAGGCTCTCTGGCTCTGTGAAGAATTGACCTTTCACAGTCCTTTAGTTGTTGGTCCAGCACTTCTAAGCAGTTGCACCACTGGAAGTGGCACAGAAGGGGATGGACACACACACACCTTTCCCGCCTTCCCTGCGAAACTGCTCTTAGTGCAGCTCTCCCGGACCGGGGGGGGGGGGGAGAGTCCAAAAAGAAAGTAAAAGTTTCAGGCTGACATAGAGTACCAACTGCTTCTGCCTCAGCGGATCTGTCGGAGCTCATCGACGGTCACCACCAGTACCCCCTCCCCCGGCTCGTCCTGCCTTCCTCACACAGGCGCCCAAAGGGCCGCGGACCCCACAGGGTGGGTTGGCCGGCCTTCCAGGCTCCAGAAGTGCCCCCTGGAGAGGGGGAGGAGGGCTGGCCCCTGCTCATGGGGGCACCGCCGCAGCTGGCGAAGGAGCGTGGAAAGGGGGACAGCCTTCCTGCAGGGTTCGTGACTGCGAAATAACCCCCATCCTCGGATGCCAGCCTCGGGCAGGGGATGAACATCACCGTTCACTAAAAAGGCTGAAAGAATGGCCGTTGAGCTCTGTTTACCACGATTAGATGAGGCTGGGGTTGG